ACACTCTCCTATACTCTTGTTAGTTCATCATAAATTATCTTCTAAAGTTATTTTATATTTATTATACTATTATACTAATTCTTTGCGTATTTTGTTGTAGATTAAATCTAGTCAATGATAATAAAATTATCGAAACGTCGATATTATAATGAAAAACAATCTGTTTCTTGCTGCTGTTAAATCAATATAATTTTGTCTAAAATTATTGCCCATAAACACAAATAATTATGCTTTTGAATATGTGTGATATTACTTCTCCTTATGTAAACTGTCGTGCTCCATCCATCCATGACGAAAAAACAATAAGGGTTGATGAAATTTTTTAGTATGGACACATAACATACTGTATATATCTTGAAATTTAAACATCTCTGTCTGTACACTCTATTGGCAACTCATGTTTTAAACTAGTTGGTCTGTGAGTGAGAGCATTCATTTGATTCGTCTATGAACAATCTCTTTAGTTTGCAGTTACATGACATTCAATTGTTAGTTAATACAAAAAGAAAGCTAGCAAAAGATGCCTAGTGTCGGAATCTTTTACGAAACCGAAAACTCTGTTGACGAAAAATATGCGCAAACAATTCATATATAAACTATCCAGATCAAAAAACCTTTCGACAAATAATAAACTTTATAGAACGTAAATTCCATATTATTTTTCAAGTTTTCCTTTGTTTGAAATTTCTTTCATAAATATTTTTGAGCTTAAATATGTTTACAAAATCGCTCAAAAATAATTAGCATTCATTCTTAAATTCAGCAACACAAAATTTACTGATATATTAAAGTATTCGTCAGTGGTTGCAGAACTCAGAAACTAAAAAAGATTAAGAAAGAAAAGAAGGTAGCACAAAACGGGTCTATAATATTAATAAGTTATAGTCGTATTTAATACTTGAACTTTGTAGCAAAACTTTTAACGCCATTAAGTAGTCCATAGTCCGAAGTATATCTAGCACTAATTGAATCTTGCAAAAGTGCACTTTCGATTTTTCACCTAATGTCCACTTGGTTGCCCACTGTGTATTGGTCATCAGTGATCCTTGTCTATGAAAGACAAAAACTTTTCGTAGCATCATTGGAGTTTTCAGTGGTGGATGTGAGGATTTACACTGCCTCTTGAAATGTCTAATCTTTCATGAAGATTTCATCTCAATTAATTGTGACATTTTCAGATTAATTGAAATTAGAATCATATTCTGTTTGCGCGAAAGTTCCTCAAACCTCTTTTTTTATGCCGAAAACCTTATTCATAAACAATTAGTCAATCAGTCGTAGCTATACTACATGTTTCTTTTAATATCATTTTTCTGTACCTAAATTTTAGAGATTAAATACAACCAATTATAAGTAACATCGAATAAATCATGATTGGTAAATAGCTAATACAATAGACTATAAGGTATGAGTCGTGCGGGGCAAATAATAAAAGAAAAGAGACGGTATGATGTTAGTCGGCTGAATACTTTTTTCCATTCTGTTCTTTGCTCACAATTACCCATTCAAATGCACGTGGATGCATGTTGTCATTATTTATTTAAGCACATTATATTATAAAACTCGCACATTGTATTATTTGTTGTTGTTTATTGAAATGTCCGATGAAAAGATATATGCTATCTCAGATCTTCATGCGGATTATGATGAAAATATGAAATGGGTTGAATGTTTGTCAAAAAATAAATATTTAAATGATACAGTAATTATCGCAGGTTGATGTCATATATTTCAAAAATTAATATTAGAAACATATTTCTCTTACACAGCTATGTTTGATAATTCTAGGTGATGTGACACATGTTCTATCCAAATTAATACATACATTAAAATTATTCAAGTCAAAATTTAAAGATGTGTACTATTGTCCAGGCAATCATGAATTATGGACGCAATCATTAAGAGAAGATGAAGAATTACAAATTCATAATTCCATAGAAAAATTCCACTATGTAAACAATAATGATATATAATTATTATTCTAGTCAGTATTCATGTATATATATTTATTTTGTTTTCTTAGATCTTAAAAATTTGTGATGATATTGGTATACATATAAAACCTGGTGTTACTAATCAAGGTGTAACTATTGTACCCTTGTATGGATGGTCAGTGTCGTATTGATGCTTTACTCTCAAATTCATCTGTCAGAACAAAAAATAAGAGAATATAAATATAAATTTAAACGATGTTTACCTAAAATACGTGTCATTCAGTGGCATAGCCGAAGATTCTTTTTATTTGTGGGCTATTTATCAGTCAAATTGTTTTCAGAAGTAGACAGGTATAGGCTATGGTCCAATGAATTGATATGCCACTGATGTCTTTCTACAGTAAAAGCAAGAAAAACTATTTTGATTCACAAAATTCATGAAGTTTTTTGTCTACAAAAAGACGACTATAAGTTTTTCTATGATTTTTTATTATTATTATATGGATATGTCGGGCTGTAGAAATAGACTTCGTCTAGCTAATGGTATGTGTAACGACGGAGCCAGAAAACCAGCCTCCCTATTATTTTGTTGTGCAGTGGCCGTTTGTGCCCTTGCTAAGTGCGTCGTATTTTCAAGAATACACGATGGCAATAAAGTAGCTGTACTCTTCACTACCATTCTCAGAAAAAAGATGGAGCTACCTGTTGACATATCACCAGTACGTAGTGCAGAACTCTCTAATGCAGCATACATCATTAGATAGATGAAGTCTATCTCTGCAAGCCTACATATATCCTGTTCTGTAGTTGAAACATTATGGTCACTGTTTTTTTCTATCACATTCGTATAGCACATGAATATTTTCCTTACTATTTAGTTGTATATTTTTCAGGTATGATGACAGTTTACATATGCCAGCTCCAAACGTTAAAAGTGACTTACAACTCTGGACGGATCATTATTGTTGTCAATGGACAAATGTATGAAAAGCTAAAATTTTCATTTTTGATTGATTTTATATTGTGTTTTCCTTTTAACAAAAAATAATTAAGGAAGTACCACAATGTGAAGCTGCAAAATATTTTGTTAAACTAAATGAACAACATCTATCGAGTTTAAATAAAAATAAAAGCAATTCAAAAATCATAACATTTTCACATTTCTTAACAAGCAAGTATGTATGAATGACAACATTGATAGATTCATTACAAATAAATTTCTATTTTCTTTGAATATAGAAAATTAATGCAGGCTTATCGTAATGAAATGTCTCGTCGTCGACAAAAATGGCTCGAAAGTCAAAACGGTACACCACATAATGAAGAAATAGCAAGCGGAACATTGACAGCTAATTTTTCATTGGTAGCTGGAACTGAATTATTAGATGAACAATTAAAATTAATTAAACCACAAATACACATATTCGGTTAGTAGTACCAAACAAACATTCTATGTTTGAAAAGAATTGCTTTGTCTATTATTGTTTTCATTAGGCCATAGTCATCGTAAAATGGTCTTGGACATTGGTGATGGTATAAAATATATAAATAATCCACTTGGTTATACAAGAGAAAGAGAAAATGGACTAATAGAGTCACCACACGAACTTTACGAAATAAATTTAATAGAAAACTAAAAAGAAATGCTATAGAGAATTATTACCAAAAAATTTGATGAGCAAAAACTTTATTACTCTAATGCTAGCGATTATATGATGTAGAATAGCAGACGATATATATTGTATGTACAGATGAATTTTAAAAAAATAACAGGATGTGGGTGTCACTATAAGAAGACTAACATCCACGTACGTTCTCCTTACGTTAAGATTGCGTATCTATAAAATGCTTTATTAACAATTTTACCAATATAATGCCGATATGAATTATTCTAATTTTTATATTTGATGATCACTGAATTATAATCGAAAGTTAGTCACAAATCAAACGCAGTAGTCTATATCTAGTCATGTGTTTATTGAACTACTTGTGTTTTTTTTATCTTTTTGTTGTTAATTACTAATGTGATTATACAGTTTTATTTATGTTTTTTGTGTTCTCTGTTTATTTTTATCTGATTCCATGCATCACAATATTCAACATTAATGGAAATGCGAAGATAAGAAGAGTTTGCAAAAAGATGTTTAATTACAAAGATGATTTGTCATATCAAATAGAGCAATGCATACAGTGCAACTACAACATTTACTTTTCTATTGATTATTATAATTCTATTATTTTATTCGATTTGAATATTATTCTGCATTAGGTCAGATATATACTTATTCAGAAGTTGAAGTTATTGAAGTGTCTGATCCTAATAAGTATATTGATTATCGTATTGAGCGAAAAGAAACGCTTTGCACGTAATGAATTGTTAATATTGACGAGTCAAACAATGTCATCATCATTGTTGTAATAAACATCAATTCCGTTGAGCTAATACCACTTAACAAATGTAAAACTCGAAATCTGCTAGGCGTTCGAGAACCGTAGAAAATAAATCTTTAAGGTAGGGTACAGACTACAATTGTGTTAACATTTTTCGGCAATGTTAACAATATTTTTCCTGTGCATGACATTTAAGTAAGGCAATCATGGACAACGGCTATCAATAGATCAGGAAAGGCGAGCACTCGATTGATATACACTTGCCGTTGTTGATGAAAAACAGGCAACCACTATAGACATAGCATCTAACGTCAATGTCTTCGAAGATTTTGGCACAAATACTGTGTTTTCAACAATGAACATTGATTGAGAAACAGATATAACTGTACAACAAGAGCAAACAAGTATTATACAGGTGATTTCACAACGCAAAGGCAAGACAAAAAAACAGAAACCTTATTTCACAAGAATAATTCCTCATTTCTTTAATAATAATAATAATAAATATCAATGAACACAAAATATTTCAGACAAAATCATTGAAAACATCATTTTATTTTTTCCAACATGTTTGTAAGAACTCTATTTCAGTTTACAAGACCTGCAATGAAACTCTCACAAACTTAATAGATACAATAAAACAAGGTATTCAGAAATCCAGACTGTGAGTGTAGATGAATATGATTCTACCTATTCAAAATCTACATCATATGTTCACTCGTCCATCTGCATGACACACGCACACCTGTTATATCGCAGAAATGTATCTTTTCGTGTCGCTGTAAAAGGATGAGAGTCGATGCGGAAATTTCAAGATTTGCTCTTTCGCCTTTTCGTTTGAGACATCAAAGTAATGTGTAAACGGAAGTTTCTGGATGCATCGTAGGACGAAAAATAACGTGCTGGTTCCTGACAAATGTTGGAAAACATTGACCTGTTATTCACTTTACAATTGTTCTACTAGCAAGTGTTTGAGTAACCAAACGATTGGAACATGCAATATTTCAAATGAGCATGTATATATCGAGCATTTCTACTATTAAGCAAATGATTACGTGTCATTGTCTTACGAGTGAATATCGTAAAACAAACTTTTCTAAAATGCAACCCTCATCTTCATTACATACTTACACCGAACATGTGAAAGTCACACCAACACACTTCAAACACTATAATTCATTCATACTTCCATGCTAAGCTCACCATACCATGAACTTATTCTAAAATTATCAGCTACCACGATTAATATAAATAAAACAATTTTTGTTATCAAATTTTTATTTCTTTTCATTTTCTGCACTTTAACATGAATTGAAACCGTATCCTTGATTCCAATCGAAGAAAGCATGTTATGAAAAGAACTACGCACCTTATCTCATTCATCTCTTCCATAAAAGCTCTCCACTAAAACGAAGCCTCGGATACTGATGCGTGGCATGCTCTTTTGCTGAAATTTTGTGTTGTTCTCTTTGAAGAAAAATCGTAATATGCATCGCTTTTTCCTGCTGACATAAATGGAGAGCAAAGGACGCAAAACGTAAAGTCCAAAAAAATCTTCATTAAAACAACTCACGCATGGAGCAACATAAGCCGCCATTATTTTCACAGGTAAAATTCACTAGATATTTGCTGCTAGCTGTTTTTACTCGCATCTGCTTGCAATTGCAACATTTTTGCATGAGTAAGCTCTGATCAGGATTTCATTAGTCCTCTATTCTTTTAAATTAATCTAATTAACATTTGATATCGTACAGCAATATCAATAACGTCAAAATTGTCTGAAAAAAATCGATCCAAAGAGTACTTCTTAAGAAACCTGAGAATTCGTCATTGCAAACCATTAAACAAAAGATTCAGTACTCAACTATTCTATCCATCCAATTCACATTTGTAGATTCATAGCGTCGTTTTATTTTCTTAAGCAAGTAAGATTTCGCTAGAGATACCCAGACCGGATACACCCTCTTCAAGTCTCGTATTCCATATCGCCGCACTACACCTCCAATCATGCATCCTATCCAACACATGGTGCGAAAAGTATATAGTGTGCACGATCGCTGACACTCGAGCCAACATCCATTTCTACATCAACACCCATTATCACCCGCCACGAGGCCAGCAACCATCAAATCACCCATATCGACTTTCGCATCTTCTATCATACACATACCCAAAATTACAGCCGGACGCACCAAGACCAACAACATCGCTCGCATTGATGTTCAAAAACCCCCACAGTCACACCCTGTTTTGACAAACTACATATTTCTTTGCTATTTGCTTTACTCTGTCATGGCATCATGCTTTTCAGCCGTTTTAAGCATTGATCTCTTCGAGTAAAATTTAATAAGCAATTTCTTTCTTTGCTATTTCTTCGTATTTCACAGATTCTCTTTTTTTCTCGAAAAATAGAACGTGTAGAAGCAAACAATATGTGCTGCACTGCTCAGAAAGAAACCAAAAGTTGTATATTACATTTACTTCAAAAATTAAATAAGTTAATTTAGTCAAAATACATTTTGCGATGATGAATTAAAGCAAAAAGGACATATGTCTGTTGTGGGATTTGAGTGGATGGCTATCTAAGGATATCGATGTGAATGATTGAATAGATAAAGAGAATACTACATCCGGTCTCAAACCCACATCCACAGATTTTTCTGTTAATTTTCTACGAACGATATTGTTTAAGTTTAGCAGAAACGTGTCGAAGCTTTTTCTCAATTTGTACAAGGTCAGGATGCGTAGGAAACAATGATTGACGATATATGGTGGCTGACTTTTCATAGTAAGATAACGCTTGTTGCAAATCGTTTTTGTTCTCGTAGATGAGTCCTATGTTTCCAAGCATTGATGCAACATGAGGATGTTCATGAGGAAGAGACTTTTTGAAGATTGTCAATGACAGATTCCCATGTTCTAATGCAAGATCAAATTGGCCAAGATATCGATAAATGATGCTAATGTTATTATGCGACATAGCCACGTCAGGATGATCGGCTGGAAGGTGTGCCATCCAAATGACCAATGCCATTTGGTGACATTCAAGTGCAACCAAGTATTTCTTCTCATTCTGATAGACATTAGCCATATTTTTCAAGCACGTGGCGATTTTCGGATGATCCTCGTGGTATGCTCGCTTCCAAATATTCAATGCCTTATCGTATGATTCGAGGGCTTGTTTGTATTCGCCTTTTCTCCACTTAATAACAGCGATACTGTTGTAACTCTCTGCGAGATCAGGATCGTCTGATTCAAGTGTTTTTAACGAAATCTGAAGTGATTTATAATGCCACATAAGGCTTGAATCGTAGTCTCCCTTCTTTTCTGCAATACGTCCAAGATTGTTATAGCATACTTCAATGTCTGGATGGTCTTCAGGTAGCGAATTAAGCAAACGATTATAATATTTATCCACTTCGTCATATCTGCCCATATCGCAAAGTATAGCACAAAATTAGAAAAGAATCGTTTCTCCCATACCATATTCATTCCTCATGTATTCAAAGACTTACTTCAAATCATTATCGGTACCACTGCACAATGTCAACCGAATGAACCATATTCGGACTTCATCACGACGAAAGTCCACAATTCGAAATATGGAGCCTAACATTATGAGAACTTCTTCTTCCTCACCAAAATAGCTGAATGAAGTAATGTTGGCAACGGGTTTCACAACTCCTTGAATTCGAGGATCAGCATCGATCTCGAATAGCACTCATTCAAGCCCATCGATCACACCATCTGAACTACCCAAGATGAAAAGTGCCAGATCACGAGTGAGACTGGTTGAAACAAACGAATTCATCGAAATAAATTCTCCGACGGAATTTTTCGATAGTTTAAGTTCTTGGATCAACATCAATTGGCCTCGATAGACGCGAATTGGTGATGAACACTGATGTTTTTCGAGTTGTTGTTGAAGATCTCTAACGAAAAATCGGAAGATAAAAAGCAATTCTACATTTTGCTTGCGAAGAGCCTTATTCAAAAGTCGATACAAGAATGATTCTCTCGTGTACCAACACAACGCTCTATCAGCAGAATAATCACTTTCGAATTCCTGAGCAATTGCTAGTTCCGACATGTTGTCCTCATAATCTTCTTGGCAGATGTTAATCAGTTCGCTTTTATCGGTTGATTTCAATTTCATTCAAAGAAGGCAATCAATTAAGATTTGTGAATACACAAAGGGGCCATTGAGTCCAGTTGTTGATCGTTCGTTACATGTACTAGCCTCAAAAATGCTAATTGGCAGTGGTTCATTTGCTCCAATGGAACTACGTTTCGATTGATCCAATCGAATTCTCGAAAGAAGTTCATTCAAATGCTCAATCGAGCCTATAATCTGAAATGAGTATAAAACGAAAAGTATAAATTCGTATTCGCTGTGGTGGATCTATCACCTTTGTGAACTCTTTGGACCATGATTCAATTTCTTTTTTGTCATTGCCATAAATGTAGATGGAAGAGATTTGACGTAGCTGGTGGATCTGTGGAACTATTTTGGGATACAAGTGGTCACTCACGACTAGAACACTTCGATCTTCTTTTGGTCTAGACTCAATATAATGCTCGCATTCATTGCAATCTTTGAATGTTCTCAAACGATTGACCAAAATCCGAAGTTTCATCTGAGCATCGACAGATATCCTTGAATTATTGATTGAGTCATCGAGCCAAATGATGGAGAATCTTTTTAGATAATCATCCATTTGTGCGAATAATCGTGCTGGTATCTAGTAATGTCATTTAATAAAAATCTACATAACTGAAATCGATCATTTTTCTCTCATGTTAACATAGATTTTTTCTGTCCTTTTGTAAATTACTAATATCTGCGTCTACTAATTCTTGATAGAAGCAGTAACATNAGTCAAAATGTACTCATCTTTATTGTCGTGAAATATTATCTGATTCATCGTTATGTATAACTAATCATGCACATTGGTCCGATGGTACTCTATGTTCAGAATCAAGAAGCGAAATTAAAGTAAGACTATAAAAAGTTTATATCGATTATATATGAATCAGAGATGTCCATCGCGGCTCGAAATCTGCCGCTGTCGCGATGGTACTCGAAAAAAAGTTTCGAATTTCATTGCTGTGAATGTATTGAAATACAATTCTTGTCACTAATCGATGAGATTCATTGAGTCTTCGAGTGTTACGTCTGTGAACACTCAATTTTTGTGCAAATTCATGCAGGTTTTGCAATGTCTTCCAGAAATAAGGTGCCGCCGCCGCGCCGCTAGTAGCCACCGCGGCAGCGGTAGCGCCACGATGGACATCTCTGATATGAATATATTAAATAGCGTTGTTTTCATGGTCAATGTCGAAATATACAAGATTTTCGCATAATAAATGGTAATTGGAGTGAATGGTCATCTTGGTCACCTTGTACACGTACGTGTGGAAGTGCAATACAAAAATCACAACGATATTGTAATAATCCAAAGTAATTATTAAGTTCTTTTTTTTTAATTTTAATATTATTTAAAGTGATAAAAATCGCGAAAAAAAACTAATGCATTTTTTCATAGACCAGAAAATGGTGGTCAATATTGCTCTGGTCAATCAACTCGAATACGATCATGTGAAAATAATCTAGTGAATAATTGATAAATTCTTATTCGATATTTTATAGCTTCTCTTTTTTTTTTCAGCCTTGTGAGGATTCTGTTGATATGTTACGTCAACGTCAATGTTCTATGTATAATAATCGTACTATTGATCCATCATTGCCTATTGGAGTACATTTTGAACCGAAATATAATGGTAAATATTATAGGTTTAATATTTAGAATCTCACAGAGATTGTTCTAACAGTTTTTTTCCATCAAGTAGCATTATGAAATAAATAGTCGATTACAGCTTAATTAATTGTAAGAAAATGTTAGTGATGTCTGAAGATCTATTTTTAAGGTAATCATCATGTTGCAAAACAATACTTTTTTTTAAAATTATCTTTGATAGTAGAGATGTGTTCGCCTCGATATTTAAACTGAATCAAAGTCAAGGAGAACTTAAGGAATGCTGAAGCGAATCGAAAAAGAACTCATTTTGTACTTCACAATAGTCATAAAAATTCCTCATTCTATCATAGGGAATCGCTCTATGATCATTTAATTAATTAAGACACTGTAACTTGAATTAATCTATGTAACCAGAAATGTGTCTTGCGAGAGAGAGACAGCGGACTTCCAGTCTATAAAATTTCACTGATTTTTCTTGGAACCCTTTTTAATTATTAATAATTAATTTGTTTGGAATGGGAGACATAAAGGCGTTTCTCGTCCCAAAACAACACAGATCTACTGATGCATACTATTTATCATTGATCGAACTAGCACTGCTCTATAGTTTGACACGAGCAACACATTTGCGGTGTACTAGTCTTTCAAAGACCAATAGTGCTAATTAGAAGTGAAAATGAATTGATTTTAACTAATAATTTGTTTCATTAGTTTGTTTCGAAAAAAAACCGCTCTGAAGGGATTAAAAAGAAGAGGTCTAATAGAAAGCCTTGTTATGGAACATGTATCCAATTGAATAGAAGAGTATATTCAGAGCTTTCCAGAATATGACGAGACGTGTTCGATTTCTAAGACCATGATATTTTAGTTATTGCTACTTGATTTAATTAATTGATCAATCTGTAGACAGTTTTTTCTACATCAAATATACTTTCATTGCTGTTAATGGTATCTCTTCTTTTTTTATATATTAACTTCTAAAAATCTTCAATTCAGCTAAGAATCGGATAGAAACTAAAATCGTTTTGAGGAACTATGAACTTAGTCTTGTCCATTTTTTAGTTTCGAGATGATTCGAAAGAAGAAGAAACTTTTTTTTTCCACATAAATCATATGAAAATATTTTTATTTTAGTATTACCAAGTGAACGATGTAAATTAATTTGTAAAGTAACCGATGATTATCTTGAACGATCATTTATCTTCAATGATCGTGTTGATGATGGTACACCATGTGAACGTGAAAATGAAAATCGAGATATTTGTATAAATGGTATATGTACACCATTTGGTTGTGATTTAAAATATGGATCAAATGCTACAGAAGATATTTGTGGTGTATGTAACGGTCAAAATCGTACATGTAAATTAATAACAGGACAAAAAATTGTTTCAAATTTTGGTTTGTAATTACCTTTCTTTTTGTTTTTTTTTTTAAATTAATTTTTCTTTTCATTGTTTTTAAAGGAATAACAAATATAGTTAATATACCATTTAATACAATACATGTTAGTATAACACAAATATCATCAAAAAAAGATAGTTATTATTTAGCAGTCAAATATATAAATGGAACATATATTCTTAATGGTTTACGTAGTTTACAATTATATAATATTAAAATTCTTATTGGTAATGCTCGACTTTTGTATAGTGGATCAGATTCTATAAATGAAAGTATTTTAATAATTGGTCGTCTTAAAGTTCCGTTAGACATTCAAGTTATTTCAAATTATCAATCAGATTCATCATCAACAATAGTTCATTGGGAATATTATATTTCATTTGAAGAAAAAGATTTAATTGAACAATATGGAGATTATTCATTGGATTATTATTGTGATCGACCATGTCAAGGTTTTAAACAAATTAAAAAATGTATTATTTATGAAAAAGAATATAATTTAATATATTGTTTAATTTTTAAAATACCATTGAAATATATAAAAGAAGAATGTAATAATCATTGTATATTAAGTTGGATTATAAAATATCAACAAACTTGTTCAACGCAATGTGGTGATGGTTATAGACGTGTTTTATATGAATGTACAAAAATAAGTTCAAGTATAGAATCAATAGATGAAGATATTTGTAGAAAATATATTGGTGAAAAACCAAAAGATATTATATCGTGTTTTGGAGATTGTACTGGTACAGGATGGGTTTATGGAAATTGGAGTGATGTATGTATGATTTATTTGTTGAAATTAAATTAGAGTCTTTTTTAAAATTATATATTTGTAGTGTTATTACGATGGAAATTGTATCCGTAAACGATCAATTGAATGTCGAAATTCATCGAATTTAGTGATAGCGACCGATTATTGTATATCAGATTTTATGTTTGATATTGAACGATGTGCTGAAGCGAATTGTGAACAATCAAGATGGAGTTTTACTACATGGTCTGATGTATGTTTTTGCTATGACGAATGAATTATTCTTGATAAATTTCTAAATGATTGTCATCGAGTCAAAGTTCAGTGCGAAGCAAAAGTTACAAAAAAATTCTATTGACGAAAAGATTACGACATTGATTGACGGAAAGATTTAGCATATTATTCTAATCAAAAATATGGAAACCATGTTTCAATAAACTTAATGGGGAGAGTGAGGGGAAAGATTTAAAATTAATTGACGTATAGATCATAGCTATTTAAGTATCATAAATCAATTGGAAGATCTGAGTTAGCTTCATTAAACTCTACAAAAAATCGTATTTTTACGAATATTTGGGTATGTTCCGTTGTGCTAAGCAGTATAAATGTTGATCACACTAGAGTTATAGCATTCTGCTGAGCGCTATGTGATGCTCCAATCATTCATAGAGATTAGACATGCACCAAACCCGGGTACAGACCGGGAATCCGGGGCTTGGTATTCCCGGAGTTTGGCCGCTTCCGGGTTCGGTCATTCCCGGTACCTGAAATGCTGGATTTAGTTATTTATTGATTTGGGTCATTGCTAGACACTCGGAGAAGCCAGGAGCATACCGGAAATATCAAGCCCGAACTTTCCGGAGTTCGGTCATCCCTGGGTTCGATCATACCTGGCTTCTAAGGATGTATAATGCAGACCAAAGCACATGAATCACTAAATCTAATGTTTTAGGTACCGGGAATGACCGAACACAGGGAACACCGAACTCGGGAATGGCCGAACCCGGGAAGTTGGGACTCGGTGCATGTCTAATAGAGATAGAGATGTACATGGTTACTGTACCCTGCGATTGCCATGGCTGAATGACTGCGTTGTTCGACACGCACCCGCATAGTACTGCGTTGGAACCTCAGTACTACACACGATGGAATGATCCTGAACAAGTCACTAACGGCTGTTTGCTTCAGTTCATCCTTCCAATAAGATGTTGACTACATTATAATATACCTGTTCAGAGCTATAGGTGGTATTAGCCATAGGGAGGATATCGAGGTTAGTGAGTCTGTCGCTAGGCAGCACCTCTTATCACAAGGTAATTGAAAGGAAGGAGTATTCTCTCTTCTTGCCGTACTCATCAGTGTGTATAGAGTAAAGATTATAAAATTTCTCTCAGTCAAAGCTCAGAATACGAAAAAAAGCTCACTCTACACATCTCTATATAGAAATATGGCTTTTGATAAGAATTATCGAAGGGAAACTGTAATCGAAAATCGAAATAGAACTTAGAGTCAGGTAGAACTTCCTTCTCGTTTCAATATGACTGTTGACCTGGATCGGATCTTCACCGACACTTCGAACCGAGCCTAAATTCCTATCATCTATTCGGTTGATGAGCGAAATATTACGAATAGTAACTTAGAAAAATTTTAAGTTCAATTGATCAATGTTTGTTTGTTTTAGTGTGATTGTATTTCGAAGCATCGTCGACGAAATGTTTCTTGTGTTTATTATGGTAAACAAGTTAGTGATCAAGATTGTTCATATCAACCTAAACCAAATGAAACAATATCATGTTTTAATGAATGTTTTACACCATATTGGCAAACATATTCATGGGAACCAGTAACTATTTATTTTCTTTAGGATTATTTATTTTTTTTTTTACTTTATTAGTGTACGGCGACATGTTCATCACATAAAGGTATTCGTCATCGTCATGTTGTTTGTTCTCATCATGATTCAATTGTACATGATGATTATTGTGATCATCAATTGAAACCTATTGAACAAGAATCGTGTACAACGAATATTATTTGTTTAACGTGGTTTACGGGTGAATGGTCATCTGTAAATATAAATTAACATTAACGATATAAATTATTCTTAGGAATTTTTGTTTTAGTGTTCAGTTACATGTGGTCAAGGTTTTCAACAACGTATAGTTTATTGTAGTGATCCATTACGTCCATGGTTTCGTATATCTGATAATGAATGTCAAACTTTCTTAGGTGAAAACAGTAAACCAAATGAACAACAAAATTGTTCAATTACAGAATGTCCTTATTGGCAAATAAGTTCATGGAGTACTTGTTCAGGTAAATGTGGTTTAGCAAAACGTTATCGACGTATATTATGTTTGCATAATGAACTTGAAATTAATAATAATTATTGTTTACAAATTTATAATGAAAAACCTTCAACAGTAGAAATATGTAATCAAAAATTTTATTGTCCTCATTGGACAACTGATATATGGTCTGATGTAAGTTTTAGTTTGTTTGAGAATTTAATATTGTCTAATTTAATAATTTAGTGTTCGGTAACATGTGGAAATGGAATTCAATATCGTTCAGTTTTATGTAAAAATCAAGATAAAATAGTTTTAGAAGAAGAATGTAATGATCATGATAGACCTATAATGATAAAACAATGTCGCATGATTCCTTGTCAGAATGATATACCAATTTGGATAACAAGTGATTGGACACAAGTAAGATTTTGATTAGAAAAAAAAAAAGAAATTTTATTTTTCGATTTATATTTTTTCCTTTTTTTTTTGTTTTGAAGTGTGATCTTCGAACTTGTTTACAAAGGCGGACCATTCAATGTATTAATTCAATAACTAGACAAAATTTATCTATGTTCTCATGTACACAAAATCAAGTTCAACCATTAATAAATCGAATCTGTCCAATAGCGGATTGTTTACAATGGCGTGTAGCTCATTGGCATGGTGTAAGTATTTTATGCACAAATTATATTTGAGATACAAAATATTTATTTTAGTGTCCAATTAAATGTGGTCTTGGTATTGAATATGGTTCAGGTTTTCATTGTTATACTCGTCATATGCCAATAAGAAAATTAAATATAAGAGAATGTGAATTAGTTCGACCTCAATTAGTAAAACCAATATTAAAACGAATTTGTCGAAGAAATTGTATTGAATGGAGAACAAGCGATTGGAATGAGGTAAAGATTTGCATTTTCAATGCAAATGAAGATATAGATACACACTAGAAATCTGCAACGTGAACACATGTAATCGTGACCTAGTATCTCCTTACCATGACTATGTTAAAGATCAAAGTCATACAGGTATCGAAGGTTTCTGCAAAATTTTGAAAGGTTTTGTCAAAAAGTTGCAACTTATTGATGAAATGTAGCTAATTTTAATAGCATTAATGTTTAGAATAGAATTTTCAAAAGATTAATTAATATGGGCTTAACTTAATTTGAAAAGTCTTTATGACCATGACCAAAAATATCTCGTCAGCACCGGATTGACGAAAAAGCAAAAATGTCAAAAAAAGGAAAACGTTGAAAGCAAAGAGTAGATGAAAACTAAATATTAGGGTAGATTGAGCGGGTATGGTGGTTGGTGTACTTATGAGTAAAGGTATGTGAATAAAGAAAAGATCTATAAGCACGCCTGCACTCTAATTGATCTTATAGAAACTTGCACTAATGATAACCGATCAATGGAAGGATGCTTCCAGACAGTTTCGAATGATCTAAGTTCATAAACTATAGATTAGTAGGAGTAAAAATCGATTTGTCTAATGTGACATAGCTTACATTCATTCTCAAACGTTGAATTTTTGCCAAGATGGTGTTTATTAAAGTGGACTAAGCAAAATTATGTCTCCTAGCCTGATATATTCAACATGCTATTTTTCATACGATCATATCAGTTTTGAAGCACGTATTCTGATAAGATCAACTTTTCTGATTATAAAGTCATTAGCATTGACTTTCGATAATTGCGCATAAGTGCATGATACATCAGAGATGTCCATCGTGGCGCTGCCGCAGTAGCGGTTAACGAAGCGGCAGCGGTAGAATTTTGAAAAGCTTCTTTTATCATATCTGAAAAAATTAACAGTGCTTAGAATTGAAATTCCAGTGATAGATAGATTAATAGAGCTTCTTTCCATAACAAGTACATTTAATGTGACTCCATCGTATGAGGAAAACATGAAATTTTAATGTTGTACGAAGCATAGCTCGTTCTAAGCGCATCGCGGTAGCTTTTTCTTGTGTACCATCGCAGCGCTGCTGCGCCGCGATACCAATTTTTCGATATGCCAGCGGCGCGGCAGCAGCAAATGTTCTGCCGCGATGGACATCTCTGCGATACGTCAGTTAGATTTTGATTATGAAACCTAACATCATTTAGATGAAACTTCTCCAACTAAGTAGAAATCAATTGTGTACTTTCCAAATCAATATTTCGCAATCTAGTTTCCCTGAAGGATACATGAATCAATATCTACATCGCGAAAGATAGTCTTAAACAAATGACATTTAACGAATAGATCATCATTCGGTTTATTATGTTAAAAGAATCCGACTAGTTGATCTTCAGGCTTGACATCCAGCTGTCATTGACATTAGACTGTGATACATTATTAATCGTGTTGATGCTGTACACTATAAAAAAAAAAGTCGGCGCAAATATAAATGCAGACCTTTTGTTTACGTACACCCAGGCGCCCATTCTCATACACATCCTGCAGAGCTTGTTTTTTTAGATGTCTTCACGCATCTTTTATGATGAACGTAGCTAGTTTTAGTGTTTTCTGAGTGGACATGAGTGCACTTCAACGAGAACTTCAATTAGGACAATTAAAAGCTTTTTCAGAAATTTCTTGTCTGTTCGGAGTTATGGATGTAGGTGCGCGGATATAAAAACAACAATTCATAACTCCTAAACCAAAAGTCCTATAAAAGTGTTAAATATATACTCGAAAGGAAAACATTATTTTGATTCTTACTCAATGTTTTCTAATTTCTGCACACATCTTACAAAGGCTGAAAAAATGAATGAACATTTGGTCTAATTGCTTTTCGGTCACTCGTTATATCCAAATAAAGTTTATGAACATAGAAAATTGTACAAGGGTATATGAATTAGCAGTTGGTCACAAATCATTGCTCGAGTTTATGAACAGAAGAAATTTATTGAAAATGTCGATTACACTCATAAACTTAAAAAAGAAGGATTTATGACAATGATAAAAGACAGAGGAAGATTTATTAGTCTCCGCTTATTCTTTTACAATGTATCGAAGTGTATTTTATTTAAAAATAAATCAGATCATTTTCAAAAATAGTTAAGTATTTTATTCGATTTTTTAAAGAGTGTGGACTGTGGGTGGGGTTTTTGAAGGAGTTCATAATTATGAATACAACAGTAATTAGATTTCTGTCTTATGCAAACTTAGTGCAATTCCTGCATTTCTTGATCATTCTTTTATATAATCATTCAGAAATAAAAATAAAGAAGTAGTTCATATTTCATAACTAAACGTTATTGATATACAGTCTATGATGTATAGGTTCAAATTTTATCCTTATACTTCAAAACACTTCTTTTAGATCATGTTTTACAAAAGACTATTTCATGTGTGTGTCTATATGAATTTTCGTGATGAATTTTGATGAAACTTCTATCAATAATTATTTGATTTAGGTTATGTTATATAATAATTCATCAAAAAAATATTTTTCATTATTATATTTATTGGTAATTATTCTTATTCATATGTATTATTCAATTGATAATTATTTTAAAAAATAACAGGTAGATTTAATTTTGATATTAATACTTTCATTTGAAAAACATTTCGTTGACAATATGTTTTTGACCATATGAACTACTTCTCAAACGTCTGTTGTATGAGTAAACTAAATTGACATTTTCATTCTTAACAATTCTATCGAAGAATTCAAGGGCTGTTCGACAACATCTGGCGTGTCTTGTAACATTTTCAATGTGAAACAAACAATTCTTGTTTTTTTATTATTATTAAATGTTGTTTTTATTTTTATCAAAACATAGGTAAATATTTGTTACCATTTTGTATTTCACATAAAAACTTATGTCTGTAATAATTTCTGTCTATTTTTTGTACATATATATTTATGAAAAAGAGAATATCTATATTTATTTTTCTTGTTCTAATGAATTAATTTATTGTGAATCAGGCTTATCAAGTGCATTTGTAAGAGGTGGTGTTGTTAATGTAGAATTTGTAAATTGTGCTAGATGATTAAATAGAGTACGAAATTCATCTTTGGATAATTTTCCATCACCATCTGAATCAGCTGATTTAAGCATTGTTTTAGCTTGTTTATCCGTTAATCGTTCACCAAGTTCTTTCATTGTTCGTTTTATTTCTTTAGCTGTTATATAACCATCAGCATTTTTATCAAATGCATTAAATGTTTCTTGAAAATATGCATTATTTGAATTTGAATTATAATCTTGCATAATACGACAGAATTCATCAAATGATATATTATCACGATTTTGAAATGCACATTTGAGTCTTGTTGTATCCATAGGCATTTGTAATTTTTGACATACAGCTCGAAGCTAAATAGAAAAAATAAAATAAAATAAAAATAAAAATTATGTTATTATTATTATTAAATATACTTCATCAAAACTAATACAACCATCTTTATTTGTGTCAAATAATTGAAATGCATCAAGTAATTGAGCAATATTGATTGCTTGATCACCCATCAGTTTTATTTACTATTTTTCATCGACAAAAACAAAAATAAAAAGTAAAAATTTGCATTTTTGGATCCATGAATTTACCTTGTTAGAAAAAAAAAATTGTTTTTCTGCTGAGAGCGAATTGTTCTCGAATAAGAATAACAGCTTATATCGATTTCTATAGGATTCTGATGCTTAAATAGTGACTGTCTGCAAGGAAATTCGTCTCTAAGACATCATCAAGTCTGACCTCCTTTTATGTTCATTTTCATTTTTTTTTACAGTTTGTTGTCTTACCTATTTGCGTCAGCAACTACTATTATATTGATGTGTAAAATTCAAGTCGAAGAAAAGAAAAGAAGAGATGTATTGATGAAAAAACTTTTTTTTTCCAGCATAAATCGTGTCTTATACATGCAGTTAAGTAACCAAACGAGTACGTTACTTGAGGTACGTATGCGCCGTTCTAGTTTACATAGAAAAAAAGGATTCTTTTTTTCTTTCTCTATTCAATGACGCAAATGATGAGAAAGAGAGAGAAAACTGCTCTTAAATAAATCTAGGGGAATCCATAAATAGCAAAGATCTGTAATTTATTTAAGAAATTATGCATGGGATGTTTTAATCATGAATGATTAATTTATCATAATAGAATTTTCTTTTGTAATAATCTATTTCTGAACAAAATATATACTTGTTTGAAAACAAAAGATACTCTTTCATTACAAAGTATTGCGAAATAAATCAATACACAATGATGAGAAAATATTCGATATTGTAAATTAGATGTAATGAATTTTTGTCCTTTTTTTTTATTACTACTATACATAACCTCATTTCATTTCGTTAAATAGTAGAACGAATTTTACTTTGAATTTTACATTCATATTAATATATTACATGATTGGTAGTTAATGTCACAACAATCATTCAAGTGTTTAGTTTGATGTATGAAATCTTATAATTGAATATATTATGCATACAAAATTTTCAAAAGAATCTTCATAGATCATTTGTTGAACAATCAGAATTCGTGACATTTGATTGCTCCCCACAAAGTGGTGACATAAGATAATGACACTTAAAGATTTTATTGTTTTGTACAAAAAACAATGAACAACATGAATATGATTAAATATAATCAATTTGAAAAGAAGTTTAAAACAGATTTTCAATTTTATAATTTGCTTATTTCTTTCTTTTTTTTAATGTTATATTGAAATAAATGTTAATCTACGGATATAAAATATGCCAAGACAAACAAGATGGTCACAAAGAAAAGAAAAAAAAAATTTTTTTTTTATTGAAATCAGATACGAACAAATGAATTTGCTCATTCAATAAGATTAGTTTGTTTGTCTATATAAATAACAAACTGATATACGGTCTTTGCAATAGTCGACAAATCATTGATTTTTATGAATCGAAACATAACTGCCAACAGGTCAAACGAGACCAATTCATTGTTCTTGTTTAGTTATAATCTCCCAAGAGGTATACTATTAGATTTTTTTTTATTACAACTGAAGAGATAAAAGTTCTTCCGTAAGATAAAACCCACAGCATGGAAATCTACGTCATATATATCAAAACGACGAGAAAATTATTCAAAGTGGTGTCTTCCGTTTTGACTCATTGAAATCTCATTTGATCCAATATAAAAAATGTTAAAAAAATCTAAAAGAACTTTTTCTTGTGGTTGTTCCTTCAAACGCTATGAGCATTTTTCTATTTTTTCTTGCAAAATCTAAATAAATTGAAAAACTCATAAAACAGTACGACAAATCGCAAAGACCTGATATTGTAGTGTGCGATGGGATATGATTGCATAACTATGATAATATCAGTATTTCAGGGTGGAAAATATTGTCCTAACACTCACCTACACCTGTATCCAGAGTTCTGAATTAGAAATGAAGATGAAAACTTTCCCAACCCAATTTGATATATTATTTGCCTTTCTCTAGCAGACAGTATCGTTTCGAGATGAATAAAGTTGGAACAGGTCCCGGAGTAAATTCAGTCTTATGGCAAGTCGTCTGTTGTGGAAGGAGCCAAATCATGATGAGTTTCGTTTTTTTTTCTCTTCTCCTCTAGTCATCACTTTTAGTACTCCGAAGATGAAAGCACTTTCTATCGAATTTTTAAAATATCGATAACTCTATCTATATCACATCCTCACAAAAAGATACTGTTACTTAGCTGAAAGTTTTAAGACAACATGTAGTAAACTAAAATATATATATTCGTGGTCAAAATTTCAAGTCATTACGACTTACTATAGTCTGAATTATGAGTTTTTCAATTTGTCTAGAAATGCGCTAATAATTTTCGAACGAAGTGCCAGAAGAAAAAAACACTCTGCTAGACTTTTTAATATCTTAATATGCTTGAGCGAATAGGAGATAGATAAGTCAAAACGAAAGGTAGCATTTCGTAGGAAAAGTCTTGTTACTGTTCAAATGTCTCTAGACAGTTAATGAGAAAACTTACCTTTAAGAAAAGAATAAATAAATACTCGTTGAAATCAATTAAAGTTCAACAGATTTATAGTTTGTAATTGTTTAAAATACGTTAATTTATATCTGAGTGTTACTCAGTGTTTTAATTCATTCATAGAACAATTTCAAATGAATTGTCTTTTAGTTCAAAATTTTTAAGTCTACTTTGACCTATTCACCTGGTCAATTTTCCTTTTACCTGTACAGATCAGACTATAATCAAAAATTTCAATCGAGCATCGGGTGAAGCTGATATCTGTTACATGTTGGATTTATGATTTTTTGACAAATAATACGATGGTAGTCAATGATATTTTTTCTTACATATTCTGCAATAAAACTATTCTAATCGAAAAAAAAAACCTGTACGAATCGTTTACTACCAAACAAATATTATCATTCAGTGAAATCAAAATGTTAACATTAAGTATCGAACCATTTATGCATTTGTTCTGAATGTCTGTCAATTAATTGCTTTATTGGAATGTAAATACAATAAATAATTAACATTAGAACAGTTATAATATCCCACATTATAATATAAACAAATGGATAGTAGTATTTAGTCATTTATCAATGTATATCGACATCTGTTGCTTCTATGTATGAATGGAAATGTAAAGTAATCAATTATATTATTAGTGTTCAAAAAAAAAAGAAAGAAAAATATATTTAATGACTATTTTTTCATTAATATTAAAAGCAAATTCGGAAAATTTTATCGAATAATAATATATAAAATTCTTCAGCTAATAATAACAATAAAAGTTCATTATGATTAACTTTTTACCTCCCCGATGATAGTTTCAAAAGAATCACTGATATTATGTAAATAGAATATTAATCTCATATATATGCTAATGATATGAATAGAACAACAAGACACTTTTCATTTAATGCAACATAGTTTGATCATTCCAATGACCGTTAGAAGAATAAAACGTTTTCAAAAGTCATATTTTTTCTTATCTAAAGTTATAATATTGAATAGAGAAGAGTATTTGCTATTTGATTTCACTGATAAGATAAAAGAAAATATGGAAATTAACAAGATATAAATATACTTTAAATACAATCTTTTTTAAAAAATCCTTTTTCTTTCTGAATACATTTTATCGTCTATAAATATTTTGTTCAACTTCTAGTATAAAAAAAGATTTACAAAAAATATGCTTAATATATATTCTTTATCCTTTTACTTTCCAATAGTCAGTCACTGCAGAATTCACCCATTTGTTTAGCATTTCTTATCTGCCAAGCTATTGAATAAGTTCTGAAACGTATTCCATTCACTAGTACATATTTTCAATGATATATATATTACATAGTATTTTGTTTGTAACTAGAAAAAGACAGCTAAGGAAAATTAGGTGAGCATCCGAAGATAAAGAATTAAAGATCATTAATTAAATTCAATAAAAAATTAATTAACACAAAAAAAAAAAAGAAAAAAGGATATTTTATTTTATTTTTTTGTTTTTATTTAGTTATGACAAATAATCAAGATGATATTAATATGAATTTTATACATGATTATTGTCAACAAATGACTAAACAATTACTTGAACTTGCTCAAACATTTGCAAGAAAATCTCGACGACCACCAACAAAATTAACATGTGATGATTTGATTAATGCTTTTGAATGTATGAATATATTACATAAACAAAAAACAGTTCGAAATGAAGAACATTTTTTAAGAAATTCTTTTGATCAAATGTTTGAAATTGAATATAAGTAGATTTAAATTATTTCTATGTTTTTTCTTTTTATGTACAATAAGAATGTTTAAAATGAAAAATAGATCGAAATACGTAGATAAAAGATTCCGTAAATTTTCCAAAAGAATCTATAGCATAATGATGTATGTTTTCTCATAATGATATCGCTAAAATGTATGTTAGAGTCTACTTTCCTTCGCCACAATAGAAAACTACCATAGATAAAATAGATTATCTTCAAAAATCAGATCGCATAATCACCCATGGTGCGTCCTCCTTCCTAATAACTAACCAAATGATTTTCTAGCAATCCCAAATATTATTTTAGTAAGTGTATAACTTTCATTTTTCCATACAAACAAAAAATCGCAATCGGTTGATATGATCATTAAAATAAAACATTGTTATCAATAAATAGCGATGTAAGCCATCCAGCTGCGCCGTCAATTTTTTTCCAAAATCAGCCGTCGCCACTAACATTTTTAGGAGAAAAAACTTTCTTTTTTTTGTTTTTTTTATTGTCAAAGCCGCCGCCGATGCAAAAAAACATAAAGTATAGTAGGCGCCGCGATGGAAAAAAAATTGGACCATTAAAACAGCTGGCACTGTTTGATCTTTCGGCTTACACCTCTATCAATGAATAAGTTTACGAATGAGTTGAGTTCTGATCTAGAACGATAAGGGTAAACTAAATTTTTAAACAGATTGTGATTAATATCATATATAGACCTTGCCAGATTGGTCTCGGACTCGATCAGGCTCTGATCGCCTGAATAATTGGTATAATGTGCTAGAGTTGTAATCGATCGAACGATATTTTGATTGAAGCAATAAAACAATGTGAACGAATAGAGAAAAGAAAAGTAAAACTGACAATTATTGAAAAAAGACTGTTCGATTATATTGTTAAGAGCAACTAAATTTGTTTTTAATAAGTTTTATCAGAGAACAATGTCATATCTATAAAATATTTTCTAACTGGACCAAGGATGACTCTGGAGTGTGCTAGTAACCGAAGAATAGTATCTCACATCTCTGAAGTAACTATCTTATTCTGATTAGAAAATATCAAAGTAAGGTTCGGCTGGATCTGAAAAAGTTTGATCAACTAGAATTAGGCTCGAAAGATTTCAATCAAGTAAGTCCGAATCTGAAAAGTTGAAATATGTTCAGATTTTCAAAAAAAGTAAATTTTCCCATCAATGGAAATATCCATCGTAATCTATCAAGAATAATAATCAGCAATTCAGGAGAAATTTCATCAGAATTTGCATCAACTAATCTTCATAACGGAAATGAAAAAAAAATTCCATCCGAGTGAAAATTACCGGAAATTTTGGTAATTTTATGGAAAATAATGTATTTTGGGACGGTTCGTTTTGATGCTAATAGAAATTGATTTTCGGAAGTCTGAAAATTGCTAGAAAAGTTTGAACCCGATGGGTTCTAATTGCAAGATACTCTTATATTGATAGAGAAGCAAAATAAACATATTTTTTCGAGTATAATTCTATTTAGTTTTTAAAAATAACAGTAATTCGTATTTAATACATAAAAATCAAAATATAAATGTTTGTTGGTATTAAATTAATTTATTCTTGATTTTATAAACAGAATATTATATAATTTTATTTGAGTGTTTTTTCTTTCAGATAATTTATATTGCCGATTTAGATCTAATCTATCTAAATATATTTTTGAAAATTTAGATTAATTCATACAATATATTGTATTCATCAACCAAAATTTTTTCTATAAAACTAATTGATTTATCATCAGCAGATGAACATATATATATATGTCGTATTGAAGTTATTAAACATCATCTAAACAACAATAATCATCCAATTTAAAAATGTACATTTAAGTGCTATAAGAATAAATAAAAGTTATAGGAACTATTTGAAAGACTAATTTGAAATACGACTCAAACTGATCGTTCATATAAAAAATTACTAAATGAATTAAACTGATGCTTTTGCATTCTTCAGTGNAAAATTATTTCCGTGTGAACAAAAATGAACTATCTTTGAGGTTATACCTTATACTGAAGAATGCAAAAGCATCAGTTTAATTCATTTAGTAATTTTTTTTTATGTTTTAGAATTATTTTTATATTAACACTGCATAGATAAAGTCATTAAGATGCTTTAATAAAAGAACATATTAAGTTAATATATGAAATTTAATGAGTTTATAATTGGTAGATAAGAAACTGACGATGACATGTAATCTGAAAAAAAGCAATAGGCATCTCGTACTCATTTATTAGATGTATCTAAATGTCAAAACTTACCTTTCAATATTATATATCAGATCATAACGAAGCCTCTATCCTCGTTTTTTTTATTACATGATGAAACAACTGTCAGAATTTTAATAAAATCTTGTGAGATATTTAAAAACAAGTATTCCGAAAAGCTTCTGATTCTCAATAATGTTTACATTATTTATTTTATCTTAACAAAATAAATGTATATTATTAAAATGAATAATTAACTAGAATTAGTTATACATTTTGTTTATAATATTATCACTCGAATAATTATTATTTATTATTTAGATGATGTTTAATAACTTCAGCATGACATATATATGTATTGCATCTGATAGTCGATCAGAAAATTATTTTATATAAATTCTTCTATATAATCTTCTAGTTTATTTCAGTTTAAATAATCATGACTACAAAAAAGTTTGCCTATTATATGCGACATTTTGAAGCACTTCATAATGTTCCACCATATAATTATAATATTCCCGATCCAGAATTAAGTCCTCATGGTCGAAGTCAAGCTGCAGCTACTATTGAAACAATAAAAAATAGTATTCCAACAATAGATTTAATTGTTTGTTCACCATTAACACGTGCACTTCAAACATATTTACTTGTTTTTAATACTCAAAATCATACACCACTTATTATTCATCCTGATCTACAAGAAGTTTGTACTGAACCATGTGATATTGGTCGTTCAATTAATCAATTAATGATAAAATTTCCAAGTTTATTTGATCAATTAAAAACAATGGAACAAACATTTGGTAATATTGAATGGCTTGATAAAACTAATCCAGAAAGTACTTATTCACCAAAACAAATAAAACAACGAGCTAAACGTTTTCTTCAATGGCTTATTAATCGTTCTGAACAACATATTTTTATTATTTCTCATAATTTAATGTTAAAAGAACTTATACAAGGTGATAATCAACAGAGATTTAATTTACACAATGGAGAAATTCGAACAATTGAATATCAATGTTAAGCTCTTTGTTTGTTTTTGGTTTTCATTTAATTAATATAAGCAAAGCTTGCTTTTTATTCTTCACAGCAAAAATAATATCGCTCCATTTTTTTTACATATTCAAATCAAATTACAAAAAAAAACAAGTTTCTACTTCAGAAATAAGTCGAAGAAAAAGAAAACACGTCATCGATGCGTATTCATAAGTCTTATAACAAAAGATGTTTGAAATTACAAATACTAACTGATAATTTTTGATATAGTTTGTTTTTATCATTCTGTTGAAAGGTCGTTGTTGTTAAAATAATGGACGTTAAATATCCATGCTGTACTACATATGTTGTTTTTTCTCAAAATAGTCATTCGATTGATTTAGAAAAAAACAAAACAGAAATATCATTTGATAGTGCAGTTTACTCAGTCAATGCATTTATTCTTTCGACTTTTTATTTTTAATGTAATCGTTCAAAAACAAAATTCGTTCATTTCTGGATTATAGATCAAATCAATCTCAATTAAAACATTTAATTAATATTCGCATCCAGATTTTAATAAATATTGAAGTCTTTGCTGTCTCAAATCATTATGATATATCGAAGGATTCTGTTTTTTTTCTTGTTTGAATAACATAATATTTAAAGTCATAATAAAATACTATTAACATCTTTTAATCACAAAATCGAAATCGATTATAGCAAAAAACTTGGCATTTACTCAAAGACAGAAACAAATTTCAAAAAAAGTTTTTTTGTTTTTTACATTTGATCTCAAAACCATTTTTTTCGTTTAAAACATGATAACATAATTAATGTCAATATGATCATACATGCAAGAACAACAAAATATCCATATTTCCAATGGATTTCTGGCATATTATCAAAATTCATTCCATAAACTCCAACAATAAATGTTAATGGAATAAATATTGTTGAAATAATAGTTAATGTTTTAACAACTTCATTCATTGCATTTGAATTTAACATCATATAAAAATCAATAAATGATGCTAACATTTCTCTATATGTATCAATTGTATCATTAACTTGTACAACATGATCAAATAAATCTTTTAAATAAATATTTGTACTTTCTTGCATTATTTGAGTTTCTTCTTCTTTTTGTAATTTATTAATTATTTCTTTTAATGGTGATATTGAACGACGAAAATAAAGCATTTCACGTTTAAGATCATAAATTGTTTCAAGTGTATCACGTGATAATGTTCGCATTAATTGATGATCAATAGCTTCAACTTTTGTACCAATTATATCTAATACATCCATATATTGATCAACAATTTTATCAACTAATGAATAAAATAAATAATCTATTTTAGATCGTCGAATACGACCTTTATTTTGTCGTATACGATCTAAAAAGCAAATAAATATAATTTTAATTAATAAGTAAATAATAATGTTTATTACGAACTTTTAATTGATTCAAAAATATCTTTTGGTTTTTCTTGAAATGTTATTAGAATGTTTTCTTTTAAATAGAAACTAATCTGTTCAATTTGTGTTATTTGTTGAATACTATCTGGATAGATCATTTTACCAACAAGAAATAAAGTATCTTCAAAAACATCTAATTTTGCACGTTGTTCAGTCGTTTCAATATCAACTACTACTAATGGATGAATATTAAATCGTCGACCAAGACGAGTTATTAAGTCATGATCATGTATCTATATTAAATAAACATTAATTCATTACAATAATTAAAAATAAAACACATTGTGTTTTTTTCTACTTACACCCGTAACATCAATCCATAAACATTCATTATTTTGTATTTCTCGAATATCTTCAATAGATCGATAACATACTTCTTGAAATGTTTCTTCATTATAGAAAAAAACAGTTGGTTGAACACGAACATTTTTATGTAAATCTTGAGTCGAGATATTAATTAATGTTGGTGGTAAATCAATAAGAGTAATACGACGATTTTTTGATAATGTTTCTGTTGGTATTGAATGTTCAGTTGATTTATCAATTATAATTCGTTCATCGTTTGCTGATGATCGAACACGACGTCGTCTTAAGACGACTAAATCATTACAATGAAAAGATGGCATTAGAAAAATAATCTAATATGTCAACTTTATTTATATCGTTTAGAATGAGAATATATCTCATTTTCAAGACAAAAATAAAAACGATTGTAAACGTAAATGGTTAGAGGAAATGAAAGAAACTTGTGTTTTTTATTTTAAAACAGCTGACAATGAATAGTGTGTGTAGAATGGTAAGCGTCATTTTTTTTTTCAAAGAAATGTTTAATGTTATGAGAATTTCTGCAGGTTGCATTCGTTTGCATATGCAACAATAAATTGATCATTTCAATAATTGTGACATTTTTATGATTATTATATAGGGTGTCCAGTAAGTAACTCCATAAAGAAAAAGTTGAATATCTTCATTACAACTCGACCAAACGGGCTCATTTTTTTACCAAGGATAGAGGCATGTTCACATTTCAAATCCATACGGACAAGGTTAGTGGGAACCTTTGCAAAG